TGCCATCTGGTCGTTTCCGACTTTACCGGGTTTCTGAGCCTGGAAATTCTTCTGAGGCTGTAAATTGCATAGCGGCTGGTGGAATTGAACCACCAACTTTGTGGTTAACGGGGCCCAACGCTTAACCCACTGCACTACCAGGGTTCCTTGCTCCTAACACTCAGGCAACTAACTCACTGCCACCCAGTGGATTCCGACTTGCAGCCACTCTCTAGAAGCGAATAGAACTGCCGCCTATACCGGCAGGTACTGAATAGGGGAAGGGAAATAAATACTGAAAATTGAAAAGCTGGGGCAGCTTTTGATAAATTGCAGGGATCCACTGGCCGACTGAGAGCCGAGCCCGGCGGGCGGCGAGGGAAGAGGCGCCGCCGTGGGGCCCCACTGTTTTAGCACATCTCACAGAGGGTTGGTTTCCGCGCCGGGTGCCGGGGTTCGGCTACATGGGGAGGGATCGAACTGGCGAGTGGAGCTCGGTTGGTCACCGAACATCTCTCCTAGTCTGTACTCTTTGCAGAGAAACGGCGATTGGAGCTTGCTTCCGGCCTCTGCGGGAAATCATTTTCCTGTGTCCAAGCACAGGGAAAGGGAGCAGGGCAGACGCCGGGTGGGGCATCAAGGACGTAATGGATGCCCGGTGGAGCTGATGAGTGATGTGGGTCTTCGAGGTGGGACCCCCGGCGGCCGTAGTGGGAGCCGCCGAGCGAGCGAGGAAGCAGATCAGTGCTGGACAGGGCCGGCCCCGGGAGCCCAGACTCCCGGGTGACTCCGGGCGCCGCCTGGAGGCCGGCGGGGGTTCGCGAGGCTCGGGAACAAAGCTTCTGGTCCCGCGCGCGCGCGCGCGAGGGCGCCGCGACTCCTGCTGCTTCTGGACCTGCGGTCCGCTGCGCCTGAAACTGGCCCCACTAGTTTGGGAGTCTCCAGTGCGGGCTACCAGAAAGGCGGAGGCAACCCCAGGGAAGACCCGCATCTCACTCCCAGACCTAGGTCCTAACATCTCCTCTGAGCCGTTCGGTCCTATGTGCTTCCGTGTCGTGGGGTTTATTTTCCTAGCAGTTTGTCTTGGTTTGGGCTTTTCGGGCTCTTTGCATTTTCATTAGAAATAAAAAAGCCCAGT